CTGCGCTGATAATGTACCAAGTACTTATGATGAGTAGCGATATTGAATATTTGATCGCCAACAGATTTACCAAGCTGTCATTCAAACAGTATATATACAAATTTAGGGAAAACAGCCTAAATTGGATATAGGCTACAGCAGTCGGCTTAATTAAAGGGTGCAACAGGCAGCTCCCTTTTAACACAGACTTATATAGAAGGGTAGGGGGAGGCCGGGGGAGAGCTGAGCTCTCGTGCCTCCGTTGGTAAAGAAAAATTGGCCAATCACCATCGAGTGTTCACTTTCAGCGCTGAGGAGTGTTGAGAAAAGAAACCACGTAGAGGAGGCTAGCCTCCCTTCTGATATCAACCAAGCGACTAAAAGCAACCAAAAAGCCATTTTAAAGTGGTTAAGCAAATAATAATAATAATAATCGGCAGGGATCCCAGACCAATACAATTAGTGTGCCTCCTCTATTTTAAAACCCACGAGCCGCCACTGATTGTGTTTCATCTGTGCACTGAGGCACAAGTAATTTATTGTGAAAGGAAAAAAGAGCCACAAGCTTCCCTGGTTGCAGCAACCTTAATTACTGATATCTTGTGCCAGTTTCCCAGGAAGTGATGATTTTTTTCTTCAACACATGGGATGGAAATGGTACTTTATTTGCAAATGTTTTATGCAATATTCTAATTTTATGCACAAGTAGGGAAACATAAAACAAAACATTTGTGCACAAGTAAAGGAAACATAGCTACTGCTAATGTAAAAATAATGAACATGGCCTCTGTTATGTGAAATTTGAATTATCCTACCTGAATAAACAACGACCGTAAAAATAGCAAATTCTCTTGTTATTCTGAAAAACCTGATCCATGATTTAAGGTTGCCTGTAGACAGAAAGAGTTGAAAACATCAAATTAATATTTTGTAAAGCACTAATGCACTGCCATGGAACTGTATTATTTGTTAGTTATTTCCTGATTGACTAAATTATGGAGAACAGCATTTTTTTACTCGCAAAGTGAAACACCGAAGCATGGCTGTGCATCACCCTGCAGAAGCCAAATACCTCAGATACTGTATAACTAGGTTCCCTTTCAGTCGGTCACTCTCGACGTCACATCGGTGACCGACGAATTGGGATCTTGCTTAGAGAGATCCACTTCGAGTGTAAAAAAAAGAACCAATCCACATTGGCCTGCGATGATTGCATCCAGCTGCCGCTGATCATAGCGTGAGCATTAAAAGGCAACCGGTGTAATGCACACCAGCTTTTCGCTTCGGAGCTGAGCGATAACATCGTTCTGCTCCTACCAATATCTTTGTTTGTGACGACGAGTTCAACGCGCTCTAGGGAGCTTTTTGTGTTGCATACCAGCTTTTCTCTTTGGAGCCGAGCGACAACATCGTTCTGCTCCAACCAGTGTCTTCAAGTGTATACGAGTTCAACGCGCTCTTGGAAGCTTTCTGTGTTGGCGGACGGCGCTTCAGCGGTGGTCGTTCCTGTGTCGAGTGGGTTGCGCACTTCAGGCTGCACTACCCCCTGCCGTGCTGCAAGCGGCCATTTCCCCAGTGCATCTCAGCACCTAAAAGACCATTTCCCTGAAAGAGCCTATTTCTCTAAAAGAGCTTACATGGGTGCGTCTTTGTAAAGACGACAGATCGTCTTTTTAAAGATGCCGTTCACCCGTGCGTTTCTGGATGCGGTCACGGTCATTAATGCCTTATGTGTCTGGGCATTAAACACGCTGAGGTGGCGTTCGTGGATGGAAACGTGCTGGGCCCTCTTCAAAGAGCGTACCAGCGGTATCCTTCGGAGCTCTCTGGAGAGGAAGATTTGGCTGCGCTGCTGCCCTCCGGGATGGTGGCAATGCCTGAATCGGATCCAGAGATGTTGGCTATGCTTTCCCGGGCCACCGAGAAAACCTCCACCGTGTCCTGAGCCCTTGAGGTTGGACGATTGGTTTCTCGAGGTGGCTCCCCGTCGCTCCCCTCCTGGGCCTGTAGGCATTTGTCTGGTCTGACCGGCGGTGCTTATATGGCTTGTGGAGAAGCTGCCTCCGCCTTACACACTATGGAGTTACTGCAGGTTCATCAGGCCAAGGCACTGAAGGACCTGCACAAGGGTGGTCACGTTACGGAAGTTCTGAAAGAGCTCCGAACCGCTACTGACCTCACGCTCCGAGCGACGAAGGTCACCACAAGATCTCTGGGTCGTGTGATGTCCACACTTGTGGTCCAGGAGCGCCATCTCTGGCTGTGTCTGGCCGACATGAGGGATGCCGACAAAGTACGGTTCCTCAATGCCCCTGTGTCCCAGACCGGCCTCTTAGGCGATGCGGTCGAGAGCTTTGCCCAGCAGTTCTCAGCTGCACAGAAGCAGACTGAGGCGATTCGTCACATCCTGCCCCGGCGGGCAGCTGCTGCCTCCACCCGTCCGCTGGTCACAGCGCCCCAGCCTGCTCGTCGCCGAGGGCGGCCCCCTGCGTCAATCCCCGCTCCCGTGCCGCATCCGCAGCAGCCTCGAGCAAGTGGCGCTGTGGAGCTGGGCATAGGCAAGCCGCCCCGCCCATCCAGGCCCCCGTCAAACCTGGGGGTGAGCGGAAGAGCAAGAGGCCCCGGGACGGGCGACCCAGAGAGAGAGGGAACTGCTCTTTGGGGGATGGCGAATGTACCTCTCCCTCCCCCGGAGGAGGGCCGGGTGGAAAATTTGGTTTCCAAAAATCTCGACGAGAGAGCGGTTTTCTGTCTCTGGATCCCAAGAGGGCACGGAGAGTCGCGGACGGACCAACACCAGACCACACTCATCCTCCTCTCTCGCCAGCAGGCAGCAGCGGGCGGTTCGAGAGCGTCATCAAAGGCCCATGCACCCTCTGCCAAACCGTGGAACCAGGTAAGTGTTTCATCGCACACTCAGACCCCTCTTCGGTCCGCCCACGAGCCGCCCGAGTTGGGTCCCTGCGTTCCACCTCGCTGCCCCACTGCGGGTAAGGTGGTGGTTCTGCTGGTCCCGCTTGCACGGTATCTGGGAGCCTGGCTAGAGCTATCCAGCCCGTCTCGCTGGCTTCTGAGGACCATCAGCCTCGGCTATTCGGTTCAGTTCGCTCGGCGTCCCCCCAAGTTCAGTGGCATCTGCTTCACGGCAGACGGGGTTTTACAGCCCCTACTTCATTGTACCGAAGAAAGGCGGTGGGTTACGACCAATCTTGGACCCTTCACCGGTTACCGTTCAAGATTTTGACGCAGAAACACATCTTCGGGTGCATCCGGCCCTGAGATTGGTTTGCAGCGATCGACCTGAATGATGCGTACTTTCATGTGTCAATCCTTGCGCGCCACAGACCATTTCTGCGGTTCGCGTTCGAAGGACGTGCATATCAGTACAAGGTCCTGCCCTACGGGCTGTCCCTGTCTCCCTGTGTCGGGAGACAGGGAGGGGGCTCTTGTTCCCCTCAGAGAGCAGGGTGTTCGCATCCTCAACTATCTCGACGATTGGCTTATACTAGCACAGTCTTGGGATCAGTTGTGCGAGCACAGGGACCTGGTGCTCCTGCACCTCAGCCAGTTGGGTCTTCGGGTCAACTGGGAAAAGAGCAAACTCTCCCCAACGCAGAGGATCTCTTTTCTTGGTATGGAGTTGGATTCAGTTGAACAGACAGCACGCCTCACAGAGGAACGTGCGCGTTCGGTGCTGAACTGCTTGAATTCATTCAAGGGCAGGACAGTTGTCCCACTGAAACAATTTCAGAGGCTCCTGGTGCATATGGCAGCTGCAGCGGCAGTTACACCGCTGGGTTTGCTTCATATGATATTTGTAGAGCTGCAAGCTGGGCAACCCCCAACACGTTTGCTAGATTATATAGCTTTCGTGTGGAGCCGGTATCCTCCTGTGTTCTCACCTCAAACGGGTAGAGGCACTGAGAGGCCCTGGTTTAGTGTCGGCTTGCTAAAACTGCTCCAGAGCGTCCGTACTGTAGACCGTGTCGAGCTCCTCCATCCCCCCGGCAGCCAGACATGGCGGAACGTCCGTCGCCAGGCCCTCACTCGATGAATCTGTGAGAACCGTTAGAGAGCTAGGATCTCATATGTGTAAAGTCCACGGTATAGCCTCAGAGCCTGTGTTTCCCCGGCAGACTTCTTTCATTTCCAAGAGGGTTATAATCACATCTAATCTTCCATATGCACCTAAACGGTTGTTCATATGTGTAAGTGCTTCCGAAAACCTCCTTCGGGAAGGATGGGGCTTCCGCAACGTTCCTGTTCCGAGTGGTACAGGTACGTTTTCCCAGTGTTATCCAATCTCACTGAGTGGGTAATGCTACAACAACAGTGACTGGTGTTCTTGTTGCGAGCCCCGGCCTACACCAAAAAGGGGTGCAGGAGGCTCGCACAGGACACTGGAAGGGGCAGCATCCATGGTGCTTTGGTAGGGATCCCAATTCGTCAGTCACCGACGTGACGTTGAGAGTGACTGACTGAAAGGGAGCATCTTGGTTACGTATGTAACCCTCGTTCCCTGAAGGAGGGAACGGAGATGTCACATCCCGTCGCCACGGCTGCTGTACCACCGCTGAACGGCCGGGTCACCTCTGTTCCCTCCTTCAGGGAACGAGGGTTACATACGTAACCGAGACGTTTCTTAGGCGTGCAGTAAAAAAATAAAACCATGTATTTTCAATACCCATCAACATACTCATGGCATTCATGGCATTACTATGTAGTCAGCATTTAAGCAGTGTAAAGTTGTGGGTAGGTCAAAGATTATGTCACTACAAAATCTACAATTTTCCTGACACATTCAACATTGTTGCCCGTAACTGCCAGTAACCGTAACAGATGCTTCAGTAACTGACATTTTAATGTATTTAAATGCAATAGAATTAATCACTAACAATATTGTAATGCAATGTCTTACTATACAAAATGCATTTACTGAGCTTCTTAAAAATAAAAAAATAAAAACTTTAAATCTTAATGTACCTTGAAGATACTTTAAATAGCGCAAAGCCCAAATCAACATTTCAGGTCTCAGAATATAAAGGGCACAGCAGGTGACAGTCTCATGCAGAGATCCTGGAACAGAATATTTAATTATGGACTTCAGATAATAAATGACAAAAAAACTGTGTTATGTGGAAGTGTTGAAGAGTCCCACCATTATAGAAAATACACACCAACATGTGAATCAGGGATAAGAAAAATCTGTACAACATTACAAGACGAGGAACAAAATCTACCACATTATTAAGATTATATTAATATTATTTTAAAATTTACAAATATAACTAAGAACACTAAACTACTGCACTCACCTTCAGTAAAGCCCCAAAGCATGAAGGCAAAGAACATACAGATGTTTGGATAAAAGACCAGAGAAACCTGAAGATTCCAGATTATGCTGCTGGTGACTGGAGAGAAGAAGCAGAATAATCACAGTTAAATTAATAAAACACTTACAGTGAAATATACAGAGTTAAATCACAAAAAAATAAGATTTATTCTCTTTCAAACAAACCAGTGTTTTTTGATCTGTAGTAGTTCAGAGAGCAGAGCAGAAGCACAGCTCCAGATGTAGCAGCAAAACAGAAAAATAACACAGCTATGTGCCAAGAAGAGAAACCTGTGAAACACAAACATCAGGTATAACTTCACTGAATCAACTTGGTATATTAAGTCATAGTTTCTTATAGAGAAATAATTAGGAGGTTTGCAATTAAGACAATTCATTCTTTAAATAGATTCCTACAACTATTATATTTTGGCAGCAGCTACTTACATTAATTGTTAAAAGTTATTTGCTCTTTACGTTTTAATCTTTCTAAATAGAAACTTTTTTAACTATAAGAAAAAAACAGCATCTCGTTCACACCAACTGCAAGTAAATAATGATAGACACTGCTCACTGTCCATGTCAAAAGCAGTATGTTCATATTATTTGAACGGTGGGCGGAGCTAATAAAAATTGCCATTGCCAACAAGGTTGTTCATTTAAATTTAGTGGAAATAGACATAGTTTAATGTTTGTTTTGTTTGTCGACTCACCCATTTGCTCCAGTTCTGCAGTTGCATTGGCTGAAAGTCCTCCAGCAAACACTAAACACATGTAAACTCCTTTATCCTCAGTTCTGACACTCTTCAGTCTGAGAGAGAAGTTTCCTTTGGGGATTTCAGCAGTGAAGAACTCAACTCTGTCTCTGTATTGTTCATCTGATGAATCTGGTAAAGTCTCATTGTTTTGGTAGAGCAGAACCAGAATATTTCCATCTGTTTTCCTCCATAAAACCTTTTCAATGTGTTCAGGTTTGATGTGAGAGTCTACAGAGCAGCTCAGAGTGACGTCCTCACCATCATATGCAGAAACAGACCGATCTGATCCTGATACTATCAAACACTCTGAGAGAATAAAAATGGTTTAAATTCCAATACATAAAATACATCCAACGTAATTTATATTTTCAGCAGAATTCAGATGGCTCTCACTCACCATGTTTTATTTGAACCTCAGTCTCACCAGAATCCTGCTGACTGTAAACTCTACATGTGTATCGTCCCTCATCTTCAGCTCTCAGATTGTCCAGACGGAGGGAGAAGTTTCCATGTTGAATCTGATCAGTAAAGAAATAAGCTCTATCATAATAATCCTGCTGCTGGGCCTCTGGTCGACTCTCACCATCTTGATACAGATGAACCAGAGCCTCTGAGTCTGTTCTTCTCCATTCCCCCTCCAGATCCTCCATTAGTAATAGTTCATCCACATAACAGAGCAAAACCACTGAAGATCCCAGAGGAGCAACCAGAGGGCCAGCGGGACCATGCACAATGAACCCTATCAAAAAATAGACAAATTGATTAATGCGTTTATTAAAAAAAAATTTAATAAATGAAGCAAATATATTTTCGCATAATAACGTAAAGTGAAAATACTCACCGTCAGCGACCATCATAAGTATTGACATAAAAATGCAGGTAAGAATGTCCATCATGTATTAAAATTAGACGAAACTAACATAAGATCATAAATTATCATGAAAACGAGAGCATGGGAAGACACGCCTAAAGAAACACTTTCACTTTCACTTTTTTGAATTACGCGCGTCAAAACTTGATTCGTTGAACTGATAAGAACAAGCGCTGAAAATACCGTTGAAATATCACATTCTGTTGGCTTTCTTGTTGATTCTTCTGAGGATGAAACCTCAGAATTGAGGTTTCTATTTGTTCAACTTTAATTGTGTTTAGCAAATAGAAACTGGGAAAGCTCCTCGTCTTGTTTATGTTCTGCATTTGGTTAAGCTCTTAAATTTAGACGTCGATATTTTACAAACATAAAGGCCTATAAACCCTTTTTGTAACCTTGGCATGCCAAATGTTTTGTTTATTAATCATAAGAGCAGCTGGATAAGGAAAGTCAAATATGAAATTATTACAACACATGAGAAGCATAAAACGTCTCAGGTTACTTATGTAACCATGGTTCCCTGAGTAGAGAACGAGACACTGCGTCCTCTAGGGGTCGCTATGGGGAACGCCTCGCTGTGACCCGTGTCTGAAGCATACATTAAAAAAACACCAACTCGTTGGCCGGCGACAGCCATGACGTCACTACCGTTGCAACTATAGTATAAATGTGTGCCGGGAGCACACATCATTCACTTCTTCGTCTGAAGCTTGCGTCCGCAGCATGGCAAGAAACCTAGAGGACGCAGTGTCTCGTTCCCTCCTCAGGGAACCATGGTTACATAAGTAACCTGAGACGTTCCCTTTCATGGGAACTTCGAACTGCGTCCTCTAGGGGTCGCTATGGGGAACACCTCGTCGTGACCCGTGTCTGAAGCAAAAATTGAAAAAACACCAACTCGTTGGCCGGCGACAGCCATGACATCACTACCGGTGCGACTATAGTATAAATAGGCGACGGGAGCTACACATCATTCACTTCTTCGTCTGAAGCTTACTTTTTCCTTGGAAATGCACGCTTCAAACAGAACAGTCAATGAAGACGAAGAAGAGAATGATGTGTGCTCCCGGCGCCTATTTATACTATAGTCACAACGGTAGTGACGTCATGGCTGTCGCTGGCCAACGAGTTGGTGTTTTTTCAATGTATGCTTCCAACACGGGTCATGACGAGGAGTTCCCCATAGCGACCCCTAGAGGACGCAGTTCAAAGTTCCCATGAAAGGGAACTGCACCACCGCGAAAATGGGCGGCTTTCTATGCTTTAGCCTATTGATTATTTACTTAGTGAAGAATAAACTTTAACAGATTAGCATTGTGTTTTACTAAAATATCAGACTTTTTTTTCAAAGTTACTTTTAAAAGTGATTACTGTTACTATACGAGTTATTCATCACAATATCTTAGTTAATATTAATGAAATGTTTTTAAAATTATAGATGAAATAATACACAGCATTACGAGTATATTTGAACGTTGTGTAAATGTCAATGATTGTTTTGTTTTTGTTTTTATAAAATAAATAAATCGTCTCAGGTTACTTATGTAACCATGGTTCCCTGAGTAGGGAACGAGACACTGCGTCCTCTAGGGGTCGCTATGGGGAACGCCTCGTCGTGACCCGTGTTTGAAGCATACATTGAAAAAACGGGTCACGACGAGGCATTCCCCATAGCGACCCCTAGAGGACGCAGTTCGAAGTTCCCATGAAAGGGAACTACGACGCTGGGGGGGCTGCACAAACAAATAGACATATCTATGAGTACAAAGACCAGAAAATTCACGGACTATTCATTCTTTTTAGTGTAAATAACTATTATTTAGACACTGAGCAAGAACGGTGTATAATACAATAAATGTAAAGATACAAGATTTTCATTTTAAAACAAATATTTAGTCATATGTATTCTGATAAAAGCTGCCCTGTCCAGCGACACCAGCTCTCCTTGACCCTCTGATAAGGTAAAAACAAAAAGAACTCAACCAACTGCAATAGACGTTAGTCTAACCAAAGCTCTATGACTATAAATACAGTGGGGTCCAAAAGCTTTTCCAAAATTGTACTAATTAACTCATGTTGATTATACTTTTGTTATAACATTGTTTGAACTTTGCTGCAATTAAAAAATATATATTTTCACTCGTGGTCCCACTTCTTTTGGACCCCACAGTATATTTGGATCTTTCATAGCACTGATCATCTGCTTTTCATTAACAGCAAGTTCATCAACATGATGATGCAAGATGGCAACAAAATCCTTGCTAGAGGAATCATGACACAGGTTTCAATCAAATCTCATTATATACACACTGGCGGTCAAAAGCAGGCCCGTTTCTCGGCATAGGCAAGCTAGGCGGTCACCTAGGGTGCCACCAGCAGTAGGGGGCGACAATGAGCGCATGTACTGGCACTACATTTTAGCAGGGCCGTGATAATAGCTGTGTCTCATTTCGAAGGCTGCATACGTCATCGAGGCTGTCTCATTTCAGAAAAGCAAGAAGGACACTCCGAATGCGACCTTCGAATGCGACCTTCTTTCACAGGAATTCGGAAGTTGCATGAGGTGTATCCTTCGCTGCTACAGATAACCCACAATTCTTTGCGTCGCCGTAAACAACCATTGTTTATTTGAAGAAAAAAAAAATGGCGGTGCCGGCAGATGTAATGTTTCACACAAGCGAAGATGTGGTGTTTAAATGTAAGTATTTTCAAGTTTTTCTTTTAAGTTGTATTACCTCAGTTGGTAGATGTGGTAAACAGGATTACAAGTGTTTAGTGATTTTTAAATGTTGAGAGTAGTACTTTACTAGCAAGGCGAGAAATTATTAATTAGTTTAACCCTCTGGTATTGTACATTTAACTAGCGTGAGAGCACAACAACGCTATAAATGTGTTGGCATAGCAACGTGATACTTCCTGTTTCCTTTTCCGCCCATCCTACGAAGGCCGTCTTGTTTAATTCTGGGTTGAGGACACTCCGTATACACATCCTTCAGAGGATGCGGCATCCAGAGGACGCAGCCTCCTAAATGAGACACAGCTATAGAGTGGCACGGCCAACCTGAAATATGATTGCCACCCCCACTGGGTCCCCCAACATCATTGGGCATCATTGGCCATGCAAAAAAAAGTGGCCTAAGTTCAAAGGCCAATTTAAAATATTGGTACAGTAAAAAGTGCACAAAATGAGTAATTTGTTAAGGCAGTATTTGTGGCAGTCGAGAAATCATGCTGCATAATTGGTCCAAAAGGTGCGTGTTTTTGCGCCAGTGCATTGTTAAAGGATCAGTGTGTAATATTCGCATATAAACTTTAACAGCTAATTAAAAAATATTGGTATAGTAAAATTTGCTAATTCACAAGATCAATACATCCTTTATTAAACCGCTTTGTTGAATTTAACGCATCCTTACGGAAGTGTTGAAATGCTGAATTAATTCATTCACTTCTAACAGCGCTTAATGGGAGCAGAGTCGTACACATAGAGGGCAGAGTGTTGCGTCTATTAAAGGGGAAGTTCACGCGTCAAAGAGTAACAAAGGAATAAGTAGCTGGAGTCTGATTACTTTTATTTGACTGATCAAGCTTTTTTGTGTAGTTTGGGGTAACAAAGGGTTTTATAGGTTTGACTGAAATAATAATGAGAAAAACAGACACATTAAATCAACAAAACAACTAAACAAAAACAGATAAAGACAAAGTAGTCATTGATAATATCTAAATTATCAATATCTGCCATCATACATTAACTTCAATAGCCAAAAATATAAAGTTTCACACTTATTTTGAAAGTATACAGTTCTCTGTATACTTTCATTTCTTTCAAAATGGTGCATCTGTGACGTCACACATAATAAATGCACATGACTGACAAAGACAGAATGCAATTCTTATTCGGATTCCAAGAAGATCCCACATGTGTCGTCGTCAGAGGCGGACTTAACCATTAGGCAAAGGTAGGCGACCGCCTTGGGCCCCCAAAAGCCAAGGGCCCCCTAAAATGCTTTTTATATGCTAGATGTGCGTTCAGTGTGGACGCACAAGTGGTTGCTGTGGTGTTCATTACCACGACAACCGTCTGTGCGTCCGCGTTGAACGTGCTTCTTAGCAAAAGTAGGGCGATGTAGAAAATGGGGACGGAATCCCGGAATATATTCATAAAAACGGAATTTACTGTGTAACGCGGAATGAACGGCGCAAACCCGCGTTTTGTTTGCTAGGTTGCTATTTAAGCACACGCAACGCTCGAACATGTACATGAAAAATCTAAAAGATTAGACACAACTATGGGACACGATCGTGCAGCAGCGAGCAACAGTGAAAGGAACCTCAAGGTTGTAAATGTGTGAAATTGTATAGGGCCCCATTCCTGTATTTTGCCTGGGGCCCCCAAATCACTAAATCGAGCATTGTAAACAGTAAGACTATCAATTGCAAATAGTGCGCTATGCGTCATTTAAAAAATGTTTGCTTGACATGTTTTACAAAATAAATGTCAATTCTTTTTAGCCATTGTCATGAATGTTTCTGGGGTGCGTTTCCCGAAAGCAGCTTTCGTTGTTACCAATATTCAACAGAACTTGTGACCATGGTTAGCTAATGCTTTTGGGAAACACTCCCCAGATCTGTAACTTTTCAAAAATGTTTGATGGACCTGCTCAACAATCGTTCTTGACCTTAATAAGTTACAAGTTAAAATAAGAACAATAGCACTTTTTGCTCTTGTTGAGACCACAGGTGACTCACCCCGTGACAAATGTGAGGGGAGCCAACCATCTCTAGTGAAGCCAGCTAGTGAGCTGTTTCAACTGAAAGAAACTTGCCCTGATTGATCTTAAAATATGTCAGTGCCCTTGTTTTGTCTCAAAATACACACCAGTAATGTTTTTTACAAGGCATGTTTATAAAAAAATACTTAAGTGTCCTAATTGAACTATGGCCTAATTCTGGCTTAGTTTAAGCCCTGTCTGTGAAATCATGCCACAATGTTTATATTTATAGCGAATCTCTCAAAAATTATGTTTGGGTCTTGTTTCATACCACAAGAATAAAAATAAAATAACCTTAAAACATTTTGTATGCGTGTGCTCATTTTCATGTCAATTAACCTCCATCATTCTGTTACTCACCCAGTTGTCTGTTTACAGTTCACAGTGATGTCCTCACCCACACACTGCAGATATGGACTGAGTTGGTCCTGATAAATGCTTTGAAAGACAGTAAGGAAAATATTAGCACAAAATTTCAGGTACTTTAATGAAAAAAAAATTCTGCCAGACCTAATGTGGCTTTTACTCACCAACACTTTTAAATGCAACCATCTCATCCTGATGAATCTTCAGCACTGTTGTCCAACATGCCCAATGGTGGCCTCTTCTTTATATCATGAATATGTTTAAGGATGTTTGGAGGCACCAAATGTTTCTACTACTGAAAGTGTTTTTGCACTGGAGCCCATAGATTACATTATTGAGAGTAATAAATTTGAACCTTATTTTATATTTTTATGGAATCACATGAAGACAAGAGCTGACCTGAACTCTATACAGCTGGTCTCGGATCAGCCAACACACTGTAAAAACCCTACATCTGCACTCCATCAGTGCATGAACTGAACTTTACTGAACTTCAGTTCTGTTTGTGGCTTTAAACACTTTAAACTCCTGTGCAACCATGATGATATGGTTATCCGTCTTTATTCGCTTAATCTCCTGAATTAAACAGTGTAAATAATGCTTTGTGTCACACAATTAAACATCTTGCATATAATTACAGCCATTTACAAAAACAAAAAATGACTTTTGAAAAGAGCTCACAGTAGAAACCCATTTGGATTACAATGAAGAACAACACTGAGGTGTGTTTGATCACTGTCTGGACTGAATGCAACAAATCAAATTTAGTTTATACTTACATGGTTCAAAACCTTTGTAATATCTATAAATGCCCATATGCAGATATAAACTGATCTGATCTTGATATGCTCTCCATGAACAAGCAGTGTGAAAAATTGCAAGTTAAGTCAAAGTATTCTTCTGAAAGTTTTAAAATGGTTCAGAAATTACTCCACACTTATCAACAAGTTTTATTTAAACCACAGTTTCACCACAAAGGTTCGGGTCGGAGGACAGTGGTGAAGAGGTCCATCAAGTGTTTTTGCACCGGGGCTCATAAGATAACGTCATGCATATATATATTACTGTGGTATATATTACTGTATATATATATATATATATACACACATACACACATATACAGTATATGATGATTATATCTCATGATCTTGGAGACTTCAATAGAAAACACTCTCAACATTTATTATTATTGAACTGCACATACACACACATAAACCATAGCAATTAAGACACTTTACAAACTGCTTGTTCGTTTTAAATGTTACATACATATTTTTGCATAGATTTTGGCACAGATCTGTTTAACTTCAGCAATATTAGCTGAAAATATGTGAGCTTCATACCACTGAAGCAATAGCCTCATAAACATTTACAAAACACAAGTTCAACTCCTTCATATTTAACTAAATACTCAAAGATGAATGAACACTTTTTTAATAACACACCACATTTACATAAAAGCTGTACCTCAATCTGTTTATGAAAAAAATAATTACTTCTTGTTCATAATAACTATTAGAATAAACTTAATACTGTTACAAAAATACAGCATGTTTTACTTTTGAAATGATGTGGCAACCAATACAAAATTATTTGCTCTCCATTAGTGCATGAACTGAACTTCAGTTCTGTTTGTGTCTCTAAATGGGCTAATAATATGAGACAAGCAGCAGCTATTGATAAAGAAAATTTATAATTCAAACACAGCAAACACTTTAAACTCCTGTGCAACCATGATGATATGGTTATCTGTCGTTTTTCGCTTAATCTCCTGAATTAAACAGTGTAAATAACGTTTTGTGCCACACAGTTAAACATCTTGCATATAATTACAGCCATTTACAAAAACAAAAAATGACTTTTGAAAAAAGCTCTTAGTAGAAACCCGTTTGGATTACAATGAAGAACAACACTGAGGTGTGTTTGATCACTGTCAGGACTGGTGAGAGTTTGAACAAACACTCATTGGATAAAGAGTCTTTTTCTATCATTGCTTTTCATGTTTGTGTTTCCACTGAATCAAGCTGAGTTTCCTCTCTCTCGTCACTCCTACCAGCCTCCAGATCTTGATTCAGTAGAGCATTCATTTCATGTAATTATGCTGTTTTTTCCTTTGGTCCACTGGCTGGAGTTTCATCAGACCCTTTCTGGGTTTGGGACAAGACATATCTTAAAAAAGCCATTCAAAAGTAGATGTGTAAAAATACGTTTTATATAAATATCTATAATTTCTGCTGCTTTTGACATCACAGATCAGGACAGTCTCCAGTGAAAGTTTGAGCTGCATCACAGATCACATTCTGTCTAGTAGGTAATACTTCTCGTTTGACACTTAATTGTGACTACTAAAAAGTATGTTCTATATAGTATGAATATGTGTAGTATGAATAAAATTTGGACACACTACATCCATGCCAGTCACTGTCATTCACAAATCCTTTCCTGTGGCCTCATGGGATAGTAAAGTGTCCTCTGAATATGCACTTCAGGATCTTGAAATAGAATGTCATCCAGGTATATTTTGCATACTGTTTTTTGCCTACTATATAGTACAGATAGACATATTTGGACGCAGCATGTGTGTTCTTGTGGCGTCATCAGCCAATCAGTGTTATCATGGAGTCACTTCACTTTGGTTCCAGAGTGTATTTTCTATATTTTCTATTCATATTACTCATATATTTATTCTACTTCTATATTTTTTTTATAATTATTTTCTATTTTTCTATATAGGAACTTAAAATGCATCAATTAACAGGTTTTTATTGTAGCATCCTTTTATATTAAAATAACAAACAACTTTATATCACCATCAAAACATGAACAACATTTTCAAGTTTAATAACTAAAAATTATCCTTATATTACAGGTCGATTTATTAAATATGATTTACATTAAATACAATACGAACTTGATATGATTGTAGACGTTTTTAGCCCTGTTGTTTGGAGAGAGGGAAGGAAAAGAGATTATTGAAAACAGCATGTTTTACTTTTGAAATCATTTGGCAACCAATACAAAATTATCCATTTGTTATCTGTAACAGAATATCACTAGACTCTCTGCTTTACAACTTAGTTTTCAGTCTCAGTTTGTTGTTTTTTACTCAAGAGGAACTCTTTTGCAGACAGACAGAGCAGTCAGAGTACAGGATAAAACTGAGGTGTGTTTGATCACTGTCTGGACTGAATGCAACAAATCAAATTTAGTTTATACTTACATGGTTCAAAACCTTTGTAATATCTATAAATGCCCATATGCAGATATAAACTGATCTGATCTTGATATGCTCTCCATGAACAAGCAGTGTGAAAAATTGCAAGTTAAGTCAAAGTATTCTTCTGAAAGTTTTAAAATGGTTCAGAAATTACTCCACACTTATCAACAAGTTTTATTTAAACCACAGTTTCACCACAAAGGTTCGGGTCGGAGGACAGTGGTGAAGAGGTCCATCAAGTGTTTTTGCACCGGGGCTCATAAGATAACGTCATGCATATATATATTACTGTGGTATATATTACTGTATATATATATATATATATACACACATACACACATATACAGTATATGATGATTATATCTCATGATCTTGGAGACTTCAATAGAAAACACTCTCAACATTTATTATTATTGAACTGCACATACACACACATAAACCATAGCAATTAAGACACTTTACAAACTGCTTGTTCGTTTTAAATGTTACATACATATTTTTGCATAGATTTTGGCACAGATCTGTTTAACTTCAGCAATATTAGCTGAAAATATGTGAGCTTCATACCACTGAAGCAATAGCCTCATAAACATTTACAAAACACAAGTTCAACTCCTTCATATTTAACTAAATACTCAAAGATGAATGAACACTTTTTTAATAACACACCACATTTACATAAAAGCTGTACCTCAATCTGTTTATGAAAAAAATAATTACTTCTTGTTCATAATAACTATTAGAATAAACTTAATACTGTTACAAAAATACAGCATGTTTTACTTTTGAAATGATGTGGCAACCAATACAAAATTATTAAGCTATTTGTAACAGAATATCACTAGACTCTCTGCTTTACAATTTAGTTTTCAGTCTCAGTTTGTTGGTTTTTACTGCAGAGGAACTCTTTTGCAGACAGACAGAGCAGTCAGAGTACAGGATAAATGTGAAAGACTGTTTCTCATGTCTTTGTCTGTGAAACATCAGGATCAGCTGCAGACAGATTCTCCATTTCACGATTCTCTGGTGTATTCTGTGTTTAAAACAAGACGTTGTTTGGTACAAATCAGTACTCCACGCTAAGATGTCAAAGCTTATATTGCAGATCAGCTGATACATCATATATAATTATTATATTACCCTGAGTTGACCTCTTTGACGTGAGTTCCTTTGATTGTGTGTAGATCTGTATTTGAAAACAGAATTACAGATTAAACATGGATACATACACAGTTGAATGTACTGCATACATACACATACAGTACATACTGTGTTGAATAAAAATCTGAACTTACCCAGCTGTAACAATCCTCACTATGTGACAGGAGACATTAGAGAGAAAGTTGTTTCAAATGTTAATAATCGATTGAATCAAATTATTGAATCAAATCAGAATCGTAGCAAATAAATCAGATTCTGTAAGTATTTTGAACAGATTCGATGGCTTTTGACCAATTTTTGACCAAATGTTCCTAAAAACCTCACGCATACAAATCATACTAATGTTCCTGAGTTTGAGTCACTATTTGTAAAGTTCACTGCTGGGAAATTTGATAGATTTTAATCTTTCTCTGTGTCACTATACTGACACGTTTGCCTTTATTATCACAGAGCAAAAGTAAACAAAGATAAAAAATAAAGATACTTACAGAAAGCATGCATTTGTAAAATCAGCCAATACAAGACAAAAACACTTTCAGAAGGGAAGACAATGACTCTCATATCCTTCATGACACGCTCACCATTTCCTAGGAATTAAAAGAATAACGAAGAAGAGAAAGAAGCACAGGACATTTGAAAGCAAAATGGTAAAGCAATTTTTAGCATTTGTAAAATGTAACCCTGCTGTGCCCTGTTAATTTTTAGCATGGTTTTTGCATTATATAAAATGGTGTGATGTTAAAAGATTTCTATAATATCTATAAACAGCTATACACACATACACAAATGCATATATACAAATATGGAAATACAAACATATAATTATTTGCAGAAATTATAGATATTCACTCACGTGCTTTCAGGATCAGTTCTGTTGTCAGTGTAACAGAGTTCAACAAAACAAGTCCAACTGCTCCAAACATGTACATGATTACATTACAGACATCCACTAACACACACACACACACACACACACACACACACAAAACAAACAAACAATCAAACAGTGTGTTTTATTTAGCAGTCAATAATTAGCAGAATTTAGCAGTCAATAATTACACGTATTTGATCCTTGTTGGCTCGACTCAGTCTGTCGTTGTTGTTGTTGTCGTCGTCTCTGGACTCTTATACGTTTTGCCCCTGTTAAAACAAAACTCAAATCTGATTTGAAAGTCAAATGGATGAGCAGAGAATATGGATTTAGTAATAAAAAATACAGTGACATGTTTCTTTATTGAATAAATGACTGAAAATGGCTAAATTAGAAAAGACCAACCTTTAAAAAAAAAAACATGAATAACTCAAGAAGGCCTAGTAAAGTGAGATAATATTGTACCGAGTGTTGGACAGTAACTGGTTATGTAATCTAGATTACGAAATAAAAAGATTATGATGTAATTAGATTATATTACAATTTTAAAATACTCATAATGAGACTACAGTTACTTTTTTAATGCTTTTATGATTGCATATGCACACAATGGCAGCAGATTCTCCATTATTTATTGATTCTCCTTAATTATTGTTATCTCTTTTGAATCTTCCTTTCTAAAACAGTCTATTGCTTTTATGTATGTTCAAAAAGTTTTCCAGTTTAATGGAATTGCACACACTAGCCACTAGTCAGGTGATTATAATTACACAGAAAATGTAGAGGCCACACAGCATTGGACCACTGGATTTACAGAAATCATTGCACTTTTAAGGTGATATATGGCAAAAAGATTACTGTGCGCTACAAACTCTGTATAAACTATACATTTCCTAACGATTGCAAAAGACTACACATCTAATTTAAAAAATGTTTAGAGAGAAATGTTTGTGAAAAAAAAGGAAAAAAAAGGTAAGCTTGTTTTCTCAACATGCAATGATCTAAACTTCAAGAAGCACAGCAAAGCGTCTGAATACTTATGTCAATGTAACATTTCATTTTTTTTTCTTTTTAATACATTTCCTAAATTAATCACAAATATCTTTTTTCTTTGTCATTATGAGGTATAGAGTGTAGATTGATGGGGAAAAAAATTAAGTATTGTAGTATAAGCCTGCTACATAAAATGTGGGGAAAAGTAAGGGGTCTGAATACTTTCGGACATCACAGTTCAGTCTCACATTTATTGCAAAACTCACCCTCATACTCATGACCAATAAAGTGACCATTAAGAAATTAAAATAATGTGCAGTTCAGGAAGCGCAAAGTATAATGAGTATATCTGCTTTATATGACTTAATTTCCCTTAATATTAACTAAACTAACTAACAATATAACTAATGAGTTATACATTTTACTTACAAACAGCATTGTTTTATTTGTTTTTAATTTGCATATTTTAGACACAGTTATCTCATTTCTACATCTTCGTACCATATTGTCATGCTCTTTTATAATTATAGTATGGAGTAATAAAAGACAATGCAAGTCACAAGCATTGTAAGTCAGTGATAGATTATACCTTTCAACATACGTTTCAGCACACAGTTTTCAACGAACACTGTTATCTTCAGAACTTCAAGAAATAAAATGACACAGGTCCATTCCAAGATAACTAATGAGTTATACAATTTACTTACAAACAGCATTGTTTTATTTGTTTTTAATTTGCATATTTTAGACATATCACAGTTATCTAATTTCTACATCTTAGTACCAAATTGCCAAGCTCTTTTATAATTATAGTATGGAGTAATAAAAGACAATGCAAGTCACAAGCATTGTAAGTCAGTGATAGATAATACCTTCCAACATACGTTTCAGCCCACAGTTTCCAACGAACACTGTTATCTTCAGAACTTCAATAAATAAAATGACACAGGTCCATTCCAAGTACTCTGCAAATTAAAAAAAGGCACTTTTCATGTCTTACAATGTCTTGACATGTCTTGACACTTGTCAATGTCTTACAAAACAAAATTTTGTATGTATTCTAAGTTTAGCTATTATATGGCTGTCACTTATCACTAAGTTAAATATGATCCTGTTGGATCTAGGAAATGTAAAATACATTAATCACAGTCCCAGGCCAAGATCTCCAAGCTAAACCTTACAAGAAATATCTGTCCTGACAAATTTGAGCTATCCCACAACAAATCTACTTTAAAAAAATCATTAAAATAAAGACAGCATACCTTTCTCCCTTTCCAATATGACTAGATGAGCATAAATCACTATGATGATATCCAGGACTGTTATTGTTATTATCCACAATATTGTTATCCATCTGCGGCGAAGAACTGTGAATGAAAAGATGACCATCTGCTTTAGCTTTCACAAGTCACATACAAGAACTGAACTCAGATCTGACACAGATCAATTTAGAAAAGTCAACATGAAATCAAAATTGAACCTATATAATGTTCTTAATGCATGTAGTTGATTTTACTGTGAACAATTCACTTTTCACAATACAATCAACAACCAATGGATAAAATCAAGTCTTGCCCAATATTATTATTATTTTATTTATTTATTTTTTTTGGTTTGATAGTAGTCTCACTCAGACAAATGTCACAATATGGTAGTAAAGTGAACAGCAGGAGATTCAGTTTCATGCTGACTTTAAATCTCTTTAAATAAACATCATGCATTAAGCAGGATGTATTTCTAATTATATACAGTAATATTCAAAATCATCACAAAGTTATACATACATGATTATTATAGGATTTACTCTTTCCAAACCTATACAAACACAATAACGATCAGAATGTACTTCAAAATGTACTTACATTTAAATCTTGCTTGCAGAAGAGTTAAAAGTGGTATACAGCACAGCAACAGTGATGGAACAAATAGCACAATAAAAAACACTAACATAAGAAAATAACAGTCCATTAGTTTCCCATTCAAACAAAACAGTCAATAATGTGTCATTAAAACACATCATATGATTGCTCTGAATGTTTAAATGTTGAAATCACTGAAATAAGAGTCTCAAAGGTGTTTTTCTTGTGGAGCTCTTATTGTCTTAATTTAGTCTGCATATTTATGTCAACATATCAATCTACAAGTACAGTAGTTGTACATCAAGGTAAAATTGGCTGAACTACAAACAACTAGACTTTTATCACAGAAAAAAAAAAAAATCAGTTTATCAGTTTAATAAATTATGAAGGGATCAATATTCAGGCATTACCTGGAGAGGAAAGTCCAAATGAGGAGACCATCTGGAGCAATTGGGAAAAAGACAACAACGGCATACAAAGTGCGGAGAGCCGCATGATTTTATCCACCATTTCTGTTCTCATGACACTGGAAAGTCTCATCACTGTGGACATGACAAATGTCCAGTCAGGGCTAAGAACTACAACTTTCTTGACACATACAATATTGTTGCCAAGAACATATTCAGAAAATAAACTTGAGTTTGTGGTTTGAAAAAAAAAAACAATAATAAATAATTGTGCTTCAGTATTTGACCCTTTACTGTATTTAACTGCAATAGAATTAATCACTAACAATATTGCAATGCTAAGCCTTAATATGTTGCCAACAATATGCATTTACTGATCTCATAAATAATTGTGCTTCAGTATTTGACCCTTTATTGTATTTAACTGCAATAGAATTAATCACTAACAATATTGTAATGCTAAGCCTTAATATGTTGCCAACCATATGCATTTACTGATCTCCTTAAAAAAATAAATAAACTTTAAATCCTAATATACCTTGAAGATACTTCAAATAGCGCAAAGCCCAAATCATCATAACAGGCCTCAGAATATAAAGAGCACAGCAGGGGACAGTCTCATGCAGAGATCCTGGAACAGAATATTTAATTATGGACTTTAGATGACAAATGACAACAAATGTGTGATAAAAAATGAGAAAGTGTTGAAAAGTCCCACTATTACATAATATACACAAACACTACACACCAACATGTGAGTCAGGGATGAGAAAAATCTGTACAACATTATGAACAGAAGACAAACAAAATCTACCATATTATTAAGATTATATTAATATTATTTTACATATTTACAAATATAACTAAGAACACTAAACTACTGCACTCACCTTCAGTAAAGCCCCAAAGCATGAAGGCAAAGAACATACAGATGTTTGGATAAAAGACCAGAGAAACCTGAAGATTCCAGATTATGCTGCTGGTGACTGGAGAGAAGATGCAGAATAATCACAGTTAAATTAATAAAACACTTACAGTGAAATATACAGAGTTAAATCACAAAAAAATAAGAACAATTCCCTTCCAAGCACAGGCCTACCAGTGTTTTTTGATCTGCAGTAGATCAAACAGCAGAGCAGAAGCACAGCTCCAGATCCAGCAGCAAAACAGATGTCCATGTCAAAAGCAGTATGTTCATATTATTTGAACGGTGGGCGGAGCTAATAAAAATTGCCATTGCCAACAAGGTTGTTCATTTAAATTTAGTGGAAATAGACATAGTTTAATGTTTGTTTTGTTTGTCGACTCACCCATTTGCTCCAGTTCTGCAGTTGCATTGGCTGAAAGTCCTCCAGCAAACACTAAACACATGTAAACTCCTTTATCCTCAGTTCTGACACTCTTCAGTCTGAGAGAGAAGTTTCCTTTGGGGATTTCAGCAGTGAAGAACTCAACTCTGTCTCTGTATTGTTCGTCTGCTGCCTCTGATAAAGTCTCATTGTTTTGGTAGAGCAGAACTAGAATATCTCCATCTGTCCTTATCCATGAAACCTCTTCAATGTGTTCAGGTTTGATGTGAGAGTCTACAGAGCAGTTCAGAGTGACGTCCTCACCATCATATGCAGAAACAGACCGATCTGATCCTGATACTAGCAAACGCTCTGAGAGAATAAAAATGGGTTAAATTCCAATACATAAAATACATCCAATGTAATTTATATTTTCAGCAGAATTCAGGTGACTCTCACTCACCATGTTTTATCTGAACCACAGTCTCACCAGAATCCTGCTGACTGTAAACTCTACATGTGTATCGTCCCTCATCTTCAGCTGTCAGATTGTCCAGACGGAGGGAGAAGTTTCCATGTTGAATCTGATCAGTAAAGAAATGAGCTCTATCATGATAATCCTGCTGCCGGGACTCTGGTCGACTCTCACCATCTTGATACAGATGAACCAGAGTCTCTGAGTCTGTTCTTCTCCATTCCACCTCCAGATCCTCCATTAGTAAGAGTTCATCAACATAACAGAGCAAAACCACTGAAGATCCCAGAGGAGCAACCAGAGGGCCAGCGGGACCGTGCACAATGAAGCCTATCAAAAAACAGACAAATTGATTAATGCGTTAAAATAAATAAATAAATAATAAGCGTTAAAAAAGGAAATCTCGAAGGGTATTTTCGCGGATAAACGTAAAGTGAAAATACTTACCATCAGCGACAATCATAAGTATTGACATAAAAATACATGTAATGTCCATCATGTATTAAAATTAGAC